ATGTATGTATGGATGGATGCATGTATGGATGTATGGATGTATGGATGTATGTATGGATGGATGGATGGATGGATGGATGGATGGATGGATGGATGGATGGATGGATGGATGGACGGATGGACGGATGGACAGATAAACGGATGGACGGATTGACGGATGGACGAATGGACCCATGGACGCACGGACGCATGGACTATGGACGGATGGACGGATGGACGGATGGCTGGCTGGCTGGCTGGCTGGCTGGCGGGCTGGCGGGCTGGCTGGTTGGACGGATGGCTGGATGCATGGATAGATAGACAAGTAGGATTAGATAGGTACATATCCAAATACACAGACGGACCAACGGACGGATGGACGGGCAGGCAGGCAGGCAGGAAGACAGCTAGCCAGACAGACATAAAGATAGGGGTATCGATTTGCATATGTTTCGTAACATCTACTAGTGACTAGTACCATCTGCTAATACCTACTATTTCTTCATGGACCAAGTTACTTCTACTGCTGTAGACTGATGGATATGTACATGCAGGCACGCATACATACGTGACGTACTTGTGAAGCTAGCGCCCTGTTTCCCTGCATGTGCCTTCGCCAGTGCCGGGGCATCGTTGACGCCATCGCCCGTCATGCCAACCACCAACCCCTTGTCCTGCAGTACGGACACAACCTCATGCTTGTCGAGAGGCTTGACCTTGGCAAAGCCATCAGCCTGAAGGACAATGAAATCGCGGGCGTCGCTGGGTGGGTGCAAGCAGTCCGGAGTTCTGATGTCCGTCCCGAGGTCAATCTGTCTGGCTAACTCTTTGCCGATATTGTGATGGTCCCCCGTGATCATTTTCACCGCAACCTGGGCCTCTTTGATCTTGCGAATAGTCTCCTTGGTGTCATGCCTGGGAGGATCCATGATGGGCAGAATACCCGCAAATTGCATTTGGCCACCGTTCTTTGAAACTGCAACACCCAAGGTTTTGAAGCCAGAGACTCCAAGGTCGGCGTCTGCCTTGGAAGCTTCCTGGGACGTGGCCTCGTAATCTGCCACAGTCCACTGCTTGCCTTCGTCTTCCGGATTCGTCTTCAAGATCACATCGACCATGCCCTTCGCACAGAACCATTTCGTGCCATCTGAGGCAGTGACTGCAGCACATGTCCGCTTCACGATAGGATTGAAGCCGATGAAACCATCTTTGTCCAAAGTGAACTCGAGCTTTCGCTTGTCGATTGCTGCCTCCACGGAAGCAGCACCTTTCATCTTTGAGTAGGCCCGGAGAACAGCTGCATCGATGGGATCGTCTTTGTTTGCTTCATTCGATGCCAAAGATGCGAACTCCAGCACCTGTTCCGTCGAGAACCCACTATATGACTTGGCAGTTTGATCATAGTACACGGTCATCTGTGCAGTGGTGAGTGTCCCAGTCTTGTCTGAGCAGAGGCATTTCATCGAAGCGATCTCTTCCAGTGCGGTCAAGTGGGTCACGATACCACCCTCATCTGCGAGCTCCTTCGCGCCGATAGATAAAGTGACCTTCATGACCATAGGAAGGGCAACAGGCACCGATGCAATTACCAGAGAAAGGGACATCTCAAGCACTTCCACCATGGGAACATTTTGTGCAAAGTACATGAAATTGAAGAGGAATGTCACAACAAGGACTGTGATAAGAATGAGCACTTGTGCCGCTTCAATGATTTTTCCTTCAAAGACGCCAATGTCTTTGCCTCCAGCTTCTTGGATTGCCTTTGCAGCTTCCCCGATCATGGTGTTGACACCAGTGTGACTGACCACAGCCTGGCACTCACCGACCTTCAATATGGATCCCGACCACATCTGGCGGCCAGAAAAAGGCTTCCCTTCATCATCCTTGCGCGGGACTTTCACTGGCAAGGACTCGCCAGTGAGGGCTGCTTCGTCGACCTGGCAAGGGTCACCTTCCAGCCAGTAGCAATCTGCTGGCACAATGTCACCGCCCCGCATGAAAAGCACATCGCCGGGAACCACTTGAACGACCGGGATGCTTTCAAACTTGCCGTTTCTCTTCACGGGCATCTTCTTCTCGAGTCCAGCCTTCAAGGCATCGACGGATGCTTGGGCGTTTTTCTCTTCGATGAACCCGAGCACGCCATTGGTCGCCAAAAGGATCATGATGATGGTGAAATCAGGCCAGTTCTGGATCAGGAAACAAAGCAGTGCAGCACACTCAATCATGATTTGCATTGGGCCGATGAACTGCTTGAGAAACATCTTCCACAAAGGCTCTTTGTCTTCGGGTACTTGGTTCAGCCCATACTGCTCAACCAGTTCAGCGACTCGGGCATCTGTCAAGCCCTTAAGTAGTCCATCTTTATCATCATTCAGCCTCCATAACTCAAAGGGCGGTTCCAGCGGTCCGGAAGCCACATCTTCCATCTTTTGATAGTCGCCATTTGCTGCCATATTATACGGGCCCAGTACCTAGGCCAAGGAGCAAGACATGCAGTGACAGTGCGAACTACGCTGCAAGCCAAATCTACTAGCAGCATTTCCCATATCGCATTCTTTGGCTTTTGTAATCAACGCCACTACAGCGGAGAACGGCAATGTGCAAGCGGGCCCTTTTGCACGCTAGTCAGGTGAAAGTTCTATATGCATCCATATAATCATCTTTAAACAATCTCGAGAAGGCAAAAGGCAAGATGCAGGCGAAGCGTGCGGCCTTGCAGTCACAGGGCTACAAATGCTGCAATTGGAGCTTGGTTTTTTCAGGCGACAGGCACAGCAAGCCACTCTGAGCCGCGCTCCCAAGCTAGGGCCACGCAGTTGACGAGTGTCATGGCCGCAGAAGCCGGCGTGCTGTAGACGCCCTGAAGAGCAGCCAACTGCTTAGCATGGCCAAGCATGGCTAAGCGGCGAACAGCAGACGCCCTGACGCCTGGCCTCCCAGTACCACTCTGTTTGGATGACGTGCTCTTCGGCAGTCCAGATCGCCTCCAGTACTACCGCACCTGGCTCGCTCAGGGTGCTGCGCTGCTTTCACGCGAATGTCGGGGCCTGCACTGGCACTTCCAATGCCGGCTAGAAGCTGCAAGACAGCCTTCCCGCTCAAAGCCAGCCCGATTTTCTTGGCACAATATCTTGTGGCACTGTGCGCATGCTGCACAACATCGCCTGCGCCGTGAAGACTGCCGTCCAATGTTGAAAAGAAGCCCATCCTAGTCGGAGACTCGCATTCTTTCATTCTGCTTGATTTGCTCGTGTGCAACGGTTTCTGGCCTGCTGTGAGCAAGATAGAGGTCCAGAAGTTCCGCACATCGCGCTTCGTCTGAAGTGTCGGCGTGTCTCTGTCCCTGCAACCAATCCCGCTTGAAATCGGCGACTTGCGCAAGTCTCTCGAGCCTCTTAGTTCTTGACTCCACGGCACCCGGACCTTGCTGCCACGCGTAAGCAACTTATGTTGTGCAAAGGGAAAGCATGTTGCTTCCGAGCTGCATTGCTTCGTCACGAGTCTGGCACCCTTCCGAAGCAAGTCATGTGTCTCACCACTCATCAGGTATGCCTGGACCAGATCAGGTTGGCAACATCACGTATGAGTAGCCAAGGGCACATTAGACTCAGACTGCAGCGGGCCTTCAGCGGCCATGCTGTGTCCTCTTTTCTCTTTATGCCTAGACACGCCGTGTCGCGATGTTCAACGCTGTGGACTTCGCCACCCATTACAATCGCAGAGCCTGCGTCGCCGAGATATTGCCGCACCTCACAGTCACAGGTTCCACTCTGAGAGCTCCATGCTGTGCTGTAGCTGCGATCCCGGCCTCCGGCAGCGAACCCGCAGCTGCAGCATTCGAAGGAGTTCGCAGCCTTGAGTAGACTTGAGTAGACTGAACCTTCAGCATGAACCTTCACTACACTAACTTATGCAAACTTGCATTACGTTGGTCCTCAGGACCTGCTTCCCTCACATGGCTTGGCATCTGACAGCTGCAAAAGAAGCGTGGCACGCAGCTCCTCTCCTTTAAGTACAGGAGGAGAAATCGTAGAAATGTGCATGCCGGGCGCGCTTAGCCGCTTGGCTGCTCCTTGCGGGCCAACCTGCCAAGGAATGCCCTGGGCCTTCACCAGGCCGCTGAGGACCCAGGCCGGAACTGCTCGGTCCTGACACAACGTGGCTCGTATGGCTCAACATCAAAGCACCAGCAGCAAAGCATAGCAAAGCTCCTGGGACGGACATGCCGCAACCACGTCCAGGATGATTTTTGCTGCAGCAGCTCTGTGTGTGTCCGAGCTGGTGCCCGGACTTTTCGTAGCACTGGCAGAGTCCTCAGGCCATGACCGTAAGGGCTGTCCACGCTTAGCGCCCGACCGCCGTCCTCGTAGAACGCTTCAAAGAGGAGTGGCTCAATCGCGAGCAATGGCGAGCCTGCGCTGCATCGCAGGCACTGCCGGTCGCTGAAACTGTTGACACACCCGCCTGCCTTGCTGCATTCCCGGAGGCGAGAAGCTCAACGCGGCCATGCGCCTGGCTGCTCTCTATGTGCCACACTTCTTTCCCTGCTTTCTGATGGCGGCTGCGGTCCTCTGCGACAGCTGCCCGAGCCTGTGCCAGAATTGTGCCACAACACTCGCTAATTTCAGCACGATCTGTTTGTGCTCATGCGCTGTGCCTGCTGAGAGCTCGCATTCTCTCGTGGTCCAACAAGACTGGATCCTGCGACAGAGAGGATGCGCCGGAGGACGGAGCGAAACCTCTGCCGCTTGCCTGAAGAAGTTTCAATGGTTCTTCGTGCATCTTGGCCTTGGAAAAGTTCGGCACCTGACAGAGATTCAGCTCAGTCGAGCACAGCGACACGACCCGGACACGACTTGAGACAAGAAGCTTAAACTGCCTGGTATGGACCCAGATGTGCAGTAACCCTCCAGGCCAGGAGGTCGAGCAGTATTGCGCCTGCCAAGGCAGCACATGCCGCTTGCCGCGTGGTGGAGACACGTCAGGGCGGTCAGGGTGTCGGAGCCTCCTGGCTTTGATTCCAGCTCTCGAAGCCGATCTGAATCTCGATAACGCCACCTGCACCCGCAGAAAAACCACCGATCACTCGACAGCAAGGACAGGCCAACGCCCCGACGCTCTTTGAGCCGCCTTGCTACCCAAAGCAGGGCCCACGCTGCGGAAAACCTCAGCGCGCTTCCGCCATCAGCCCAGTCCCTCTCCGATACGCCTCGTGCGCGCTGATGCGCGCTGCATCGCGCAGCTTGGGCAGCGACGGCCACAGCAGGTATGCCAAATTTCGAGCAAAGGGCGAGCTGAAGCGGCTGGCCTCTTGCGCCTCCCGAGCATTGAGATTGAGGGAAGTTGCCTCTGCAAAGCTGGAGAACAAGGCCTGCTGTCTCGCCCTGGCTTGGCTCAACTGGATGGCGAGGTTGCTGTTCAACGCTCCACCTGCTCGAAATGTTTTCGCGCACAATCCCCGGCGTTGTGCTGTCTACGATGAGTTCGTCGCAGCTACTTGCACCACTGATGCCTTGCTGGGAGTTCAGGATCAACAAGATACGATGCCAAAGCGAGCTACCGTGCACGGCACCGTTTCTAGAGAAGAGCTCGGCATCGCATCGCCAACCATGTACAGAAGAGCCAAATTCGTGTAAGTGACCCGGCAGCACACTCTCATGTCATCCTAAGCCCTAGCATTCTTTTGCTTGCCTCGGTTTGGTGAACAGTTGCCGGGCCATCGAGAGCCGAGCTGCGACCGCTAAACTGCGCATGCCAACAGGACAGCTTCTGTGGTCCCGATCCGCGCCTTCAGTCGAAGCTATGTACAAAGTTCTGCCGAAAAGGTTCCACGGCCGCAGCGAACCCATTGCCGGCTCTGCTTCCCTACGGCTCTGTCGATTATGCTTCCTCTGCCAACCAACAGGATAAAGTCCCGGGAAGTCTGAAAAGGGCTGCACATGGCAGCCTAAGCAGCCTAATCCGATCCACTGACCCTTCGCGGCGAGCAGAATTGGACAAACTCTCCCAACCTCTTCGAGATTCCCCGCACTTGGAACAATATGCTGTTCAGAGCATTCGCGGCTGCCAAAGCGCTTAGACGTCCTGAGAAGGCAGCGGAGCTGGAACTATGCGGTGCCATGCACTGTCCCAGGCATATTAGACCACTGTGCGAGTGGACGACGTCTGTGGAGAGTCTGGCAACGGCAACTATTGCTGGCTTCTTGACTTTTGAGTGTGGCTCAGGGCTGCGCTGAACCACTCTCTGGAAAATCAGCGCGATACCTGCAACCTCCCACTGCTGCGACCGTTTAGTTTCACGACTGTCGACTATCTTGGAGATGTGGATTCAATCTCGAGTGATAGGCGTGGCTGTGACATCTCGGCTTACGCCTGCAGCTCAGAAAGACCACGAAGCAGGAAGTGCAAAGACAAAAACGCTACGACGAGCAATGAGGGTTCCCAAACGTTTCTTTTCGTCAGCGCAGCGCTGATGATTTAACAAAGCTGAGAGTGCAGCTCTTGTGGCCACTCTGACTTCTACTTGTAGTTGCAGCTTGTCACACGCGTGTACAGCACAGAGGATCAGATGGTTCTTCGTCGCGAAGCCCTCGCCTGGTCTCAGAAGACTTGAATTCTCCACTTCCCTGGTAACACAGACACAGCCGTGCGAGTTGCAAGACGGAGGGAGGTCCATTCTGTTGTTTCCTGTGATGCCCTGCTGACTATACGAATATGAACGACTCGAGAGTCTACACGTCTAAGTGCACACCCCCCCCCCCCCNNTCTTTCTTTCTGCCGGGCTTAGGGGTCCTTTGGGACCCTCAGGCCATTGCCCCCCGCCCGACCACCCTTTTGTGTGAATGAGTAGCCGGCTTTGGGCTCAACTAGGACCGTGGCCACCCCCCATCTCTCTCTCTCCCCCTTCAAGGCTGGTGATTCCTTATCATAACTATAATTTAGTATACCCCAAAATTGGGGGGTTCCTTATTATAACTATAATATGCCTAAGTCAGTCTCAGGGGCCTCAGCCTGAGGGGCATCAAGAAGATCACAGTGTCGGCGCAGGACGTGGGTCTCCTGAGGTGCCCAGGGTCAAACACAAGGAGCGGTTGGAATTTCCCACGGAATTTGAACCACGGCTGTCCTTCCATTTCTTGTCATCGTCTCTGTATATAACCGTCAGGGAGAGGTCATCGGAGTCCACGACGGTGGCCTCGTACCTGATGCAAGGAGCGTGAGCCCGAGCTGCAGTTAACTGCAGTCGGGCTCGGACCCTCCGGTTCCGCCACCCCATCCATCACCTGTCACGGAGACCTGGACACAAAGCAGAGCCTCACCAGAGGCTACGAAATGATGACAACTCAAGGCTGCGGCTCTGCAACCTACCATCTCGCCGGCAGAGTGAGGCTCAGCTGGAGCGACAGATGCCGCAGACCTAGCCACATCACTGCACAACGGAAGGAAGACAAAGACCGATAGTCTCGTCGACACTGGAGCCTCTTTGCAGGTGCAGACGAGCGCGCCTCACGGACGCCCCAAAATTACTTCCAAGGCCGCGTACCACATGAACTTTGCGGTGCAGCTTGGTACAAGCATGCCTTGGGTTTTGCTCGAGATGCTCTGCGCGGAGGGACATATCCTGATAGCGCAGACGGGAAGGTACGCAAGCTGAAGCTTTCGCTGACCGCTCCTGTTGGCGGCGGCTGCTTGTGCCAGAGTCGAAGTCGAAGACCCGATGCGGCCAGTCGTCCACCAGATTCAGTCCGTCGACCCGTTCCAGCTTCGAGGGGCTGCGGAGACTCACTGGATCTGGATGCCATCTCCGCGGGAGCTTCTGGCACTGCCTCCGGCACTGCCTCCGGACAAGGCTCCGTTGGCACTGCCTCTGCATCATCTTCCGGTTGCAACACCTGTCTTAAAAAGACATTTACGTGTGGCATCAGCTAGCAGGCCAGAATGAATAGGGTCCCTGCGAGCGTGTCTCCATATGCCAAGGTAGGCGCCTGATGTGCAGCGCAGTCTGCACGGCCACCGGCTGCAACACTTGCTGCAGCTACTGCTACCCCATAGACGGAGTGGCGCACCTCGTGCTCAATCGCAACGGCTGCCGGGGGTGACCTGGATGCAGCTGGTGGTCGGCAACGACAAGCACGAGTGACAATGTACTGCTGAAGGCTGCATCTTGGGAACGTTGCAATGCCGGCGGCGGCATGCTAGTAAACGTGCTCACTTCTGGTATTTCGCCTGGCCAGTCGGGTCTCTGAGGTATGCAAGATTGTAGGCTGTGCTGTCGTGCACACCAGCCTGGACCGCCCGCTTCATAAGCAAGCGTGGCATCACCAACCTCAAAGCTCGACCAAGCCTAGCTATCTCGAAAAACTGACTTTCACCGGATACACATATTTGCATGAGGAACATCTATGTGCCGGCCGCGCTACCGTGACGATCAACGCTCGGTACGGGCTCGCGGGTGTGACCCCGGAGGCTTTCAAAACCTACGCTCAGCATTTGGCACGGTATGGCACGGTGTTCCAGGTCCGCCCCAACCCTCTGTTGCTTTCGCGTTTCTGTCCCGGCGATTTTTCCAGGGTAAGACCAGGTAAGTTAACCGGCCATGTGCGGAACAAACCAGGCCACCTGCCCATGCTTTGTTGCTGCCTGTGTGTTGCCTTATGGGAACTAGAAGACGAGTGGCCCGAAAGCATCATTAGCCATGAGTTTTGGGGCCATGAGTGTCGGCTATAGAGAGTCTATAGAGAGTCTAAAGAGAGTGTCGTAGAGTCAAGTGTGGTAAAGTCAAGTGTCGTAGAGTCAAGTGTCGTAGAGTCAAGTGTGGTAGAGTCAAGTGTG